TGCTCTTACAAAAACTTCGGAGGCATTGACATTACTCGCCTCTGTTTTACTAATGATATCATTATTTTTTGTAATGGCTCGATTAGATGCTTTAAAAAAAATAGAAAATTTATGTCTGTTTTTGAAAGGGAAAGTGGGCTTCAATTTAACAACAGCAAATGTTCTTTCATTGCTAGTAAAAGAATGCATTCTGCTCAATGTAACAATATTGTTACCCAAACATGTTTCTACAATCAACTTTTGCCTCTTTTCTATCTTGGTACTCCTTTATTTAAAGGTCATAAATGCTCTTTATTATTTGATAAACTTCTAGCTTCTATCATTGCTAAAATTTCTTCTTGGGAGTTTAAAATGCTTTCTATGGTAGCTAGACTTATCCTTTTTAAAATTGATTTATGCTCCAAGCCTGTTAATCTCTTTCAATCTATTAATCCTACTGGTTCGATTTGTGATTATTGGGAAAAAGTTATAAACAAATTCTTTTGGGGCACCACTTCTATTTCCAAAAAAAATCATGGTCCCTACTTTTTGAAGGTGGCTTTCGATGTAAGTATATTTCCGAATTAATCAAAGTTTTCTCTATTAAACTTCGGTGGAAATTCAGGAAGTATGAATCTTTATGGTCCAATTATATGCATCAAAAATATTGTAAAGACATTCATCCCTCTTATTTTTTTTAAGCAAGGGCAGTCCTTGGGATGGAAAAGCTTATGTCAGATCAAATGGTTTGCCAAATCTATTATTAAATGGAGAATTAGTAATGGTTCCTCCCATTTTTGGTAGGATGACTCGTTAGGTTTAGGGTCTATTGACTCTCATTTAAACACTCATTCTACCTCCTCATTGAAGGTCTGTTATTTTATTACAGATAGTAATTGGTCCACTAATCGGCTCCAGGAATTTATCCCCCAATTTCTTGTTGATGATATCTGTAAGATTCCTTTAAGCATTAATTCTAAGGATTAAGATCTCGAATGATGCTGATTTCAACTGCAGAAAAAACTTGGTTGCTTTTAAGAAATGACAATAATGTTAAAGCTACTTTTGCTAATTTATGAAAGTCCACTATTCCCATTAAGTTATCATTGTTAGCTTGGAAAATTTTAAAAGTTTTATCCATGTTGATTCTATGATCAAATTGAAGGGTTTCAATTGCTTCTAAATGCTAATGTTGTTTTAGCCTTGAGACTATTAATCGCGTTTTTCTTCACAATCCTATTGCTGCGAAGGTTTGGAATGATGTTCAAACTGCTCTTGACATTAATTTATGCATTTATACAACCAATATGATGAGTTTATTTAGTAATATGTTACAAAACAATATTTTTAGTTGCACTTTAATGGCCATTCCGTTATGCGCTTTGTGGATTTTGTGGGAGGAAAGAAATAATAGCAAGCATAATGGTATAAAGATGTGTCACAAAGGGGTTATTATTTCTTTAAAATATAGAATCAAGCACCTTTTTCAAGCTAATGTTTTTTTTTTTTTTTGGGAAATTTTGGGGGCGAAGCCTTTATCATTGCTATAGAAAAAACAATTACAAGTAGAAAAAAAAAAAACCAACCCTAATGGAAAGGATAAAAATCAAATAGGGAAGGCAGCAAACTAACAGAAGAACAAAAAAAAGGTCCTACAGGAGAAAGAAAACAACATGTAAAGAACCACAAAAAAAAACAACTATCTAGAACAACCAAAGAAGAGAATAACCAGAGAAGGATTCAAGCTGTAATCCGAATGAAGGCTCAGACAAAATTTCATCATAGATTATACGAAAATGAACCCCTGGTTGCTAGCACAACCATCCAAGGGGACGAGAACAGAGCAGCAGACATCATCGTCCTTCCAAGAAAACCAACCAAGCGACTCCCCCTGGTTACCATCGCGGCCATCCAGGTGCAATAATCACCGAACAGTTCCACAGAGCAGCATCAACTGAAACATAGAGATCACCATCAAAATATTTGATGCTCCCAGAAACAAAGAGGCAACCAGCAAAGTCCAAAACGAGACCAGAATACAACCCATACCAACCGAGCTCAAGCAAGAAATTGCTTGAATTTAAAGTCATTCTTCCAGTTTTTAGTTTTGAAAAGACTGCTCTTTAAATTTTCTTGGCAATCGTGGTTTGGCACTCATAAGCATTACCAAATAGTCTATCATTTCTACCTTTCCAAATAAAGTAGATGGTGGCACTAATCAGAAGGCAATAGAACCATTTCAGTATTGTCCACATTAAGCTCCTCAATGAAATTGTAAGCTTGTCGAAGATTAGGCCTCAAAAAGAAAACATCACCGTAAGGGTTAAGTTGTTTAAGAATTCCAAAAGTGTAATAGCATTAAAAAAAAAAGATTCATGTGGGATTCAAAGTCCGTGTAGCAGAATTTTCAAGTCATGTCCACCATTAATCCCCTCTGAGCAAGTGCCATAGTAGTTTTTAAACCAGATTTAAAGGCTAACCAAGCAAAAGAAGCAAATTTAAGAGCATAGCCTTTGTGCCAAACAAACAAGTGCCAATTAACCTTAGGGTGATGAGAAAAAAACTGCTTAGCATGGATTCTAGAATTCGGGTTGTCCATCCCCAACCAGAGGGAACCAGAATTCAAATTAGCAATAGGTATCAGCTAAATAGCATGGACCCGAGCTATGGGGATGGAGGGGGGTAATGGCCAAGCCCCATTTTGAATAAAGTTTCTAACTTGTCAAAGAGAGGCATCCAAAGAGGTCGGTTTAGGAAACATATAGCCCCACAATTCCATAATAGATCGACCATTACACCAGGGGTACCAAAGAAAGGATAAGGTGATGTTAGCATGAACTTTGAGAGTAATTATATTCTTGATTTTAATGGCCACAGAACACAGAAATTTCCAGTATGTCGAGACACGAGAGGTGTGATTAGCCCACAGAGAATGGTGATTCCCTTTCCACCAAGTAAACAACAAGTTATTAGAATGAAGAAGTCTCCAGATAATAGAACAACCATAAGTGTGATAGAGAGAGTCAATGTTAGGAAGGCCAATTCCCCCACGATCCTTAGGCAAGCAAGTATCTTTCCAAGCCACCAAATGAAGTTTCTTTTCAGAAATATCACTAGGAAAAAGAAACCTGGAACAAGCTCTATTAATCAGCTTACAACAACCTTTGGGAATGATAGATCCCCTAATCCAATATGCAAGGGTATTAAAAATAGTATATCGAAGAAATTGTAATTTACCCGCCAAAGACAAAGACTTGGCTTTCCAGCCATCAAGAGCCCCAAAAATTTTTGTAATGAGGGGCTGAAAATCAACCACATGAATCTTTTTGGTATGAATATGAAGACCAAGATATTTTATGGGGCCTTGAGATTTCTGAACATTAAGAATGCTAGAAATATGAGTGTCTAGATTACAATTATTGGAGAAAAGGATAGAGCTTTTCTCCGCATTAATGTGCAGAGATTAGTCACCTCAGCAAAGAGCAACAGAATATTGTTAAGAGTATTAGCATTATCCATAGTAGCTTTACCAAAAACAAATAAGTCGTCAGCATACAAAAGGTGGGTGAAAAAAATGTTACCAATAGAAAAACCCTGGAATTCCTTCTTAGAAACTGCTTCCTCAAAGCAGGATGAAAGTCCATACATCACAATCGAGAAAAGATAAGGGGAGAGGGGGGAACCTTGCTTAAGCCTAGATATGGAATTAAAATAGCCATCTAAAGAACCATTAATTGCCACCAAGAAATGAATATATATCAGTAATGCACCCTTTGATCAAAGAGATGAAGGGAGAGGGGAATCCGTTGCCAAGAATCCTAGCAAGGAGGAATTCTCTAGAGATAGAGTCAAAGGCTTTTTGAATGTCAATTTTAGCACAGAAAAATGTCTCCTTAGCTTTCAAATTGAAGCTACCCAAAATGTCCGTAGGCAAGAGAATATTATCAGAGATAATCATATGTTTAATGAACCTAGCTTGGCTAGGGTGAATAATATGTGGCATAACTTCTCTCATTCTGTTAGCAAGGATCTTGACAATAATCTTATAGAATGTGTTGCAAAGGGCAATTGGCATGTAATCAGTCACCTTGGAAGCATGGGGATGCTTAGGAATCAAAGCCAAAGGCTTTAGCATGTTTAGGCATGAACCCTTAGAGAGATAAGACATCACAGCTTCAGAAAGATATTTTCCAATCACATTCTAAGTAGATTTATAGAATTCAAAAGTATATATGTCTGGGCCAGGAGCAGCATTAGGAGCTGAAGAAAAAAACACATTTTTAGCTCCTCAATAGTAACATGAGCAACAAGAGAAGAAGTGAGATGATCTGGAATGGTGGCCCCAATTGGCAGAGTAGCATTAATTGGCATGGAGAGTATGGCCAGATTTGTTAAACAGTTCCTTGAATTGATTGATAAATTCATTGTTGATATCCTTGGAGGAGGTGAGAACAATGCCATTAGATGTTATGCTATTAATCACAATAGCATTGTGCCTATGATTGATTTTAGAGTAGAGGAACTTGAGGTCATCTTCCCCTGAGGTAAGCCATTTGGCTTTACCCCTTTGTATGATCCAATCAGTCCAAAGGGAATGATTGTCTGAAAGCTTGAGATTAGTCTCTTTGAGAGCTTCATTCAACTCTAGGTCCGTAGGGTTCATTTGGATTTGTGCCAATTGATCATTTTGTGTGGTCTTGAGAAAGTCAATATTATTCAACAAATTGTTGGAGGAAGCCCATCTCTTGGTTTTAATAAGATTCTTGAGAGCCTTGAGTTTATAGTTGAAAGAGTAGATATGACTGCCATAGGATGGTTGGGAAAAAATGGTAAAAATCTCGTCCCAAAATTCTAGAATCTTGTGCCAGTAATTATTGTACATAAAAGGATGCTTGCTCATGAGGCCCAGACCAGGCTGAAGGATGATAAGAGTGTGATCAGATATTTCTGGGTCGCCAACAGTGTAAAAGGAGTTAGGGTGTATTGAGCTACAGGTGATTATGAGAACTCTATCCAGTTTGATATGAATAGGGTTATCAGTTCTTTTATTGAACCAAGTGAAAAAATGCCCCACCAAGGTAAGATCATGTGCACCAATATTGAAAATCAAATTGTTGAGCTCCACCAGCTTGCTGTGTGGAGAGGAGAGCCTCCAGCTTTTTCATTCGAATGTCTATAACAATTAAAGTCTCCCATGATGGCCCAAGGCAAGTTAATATTGGCCGCAATCTGAACAATGTGATTCTAGAGAACTTGTCTTCCAATAATAGAGTTGGAGGCATATACAACAGAAATGCAAGCAATATCAGAGGAGCCCACTTGAATAATACCATGAATGAGCTAACTAGAGGTAAACAAAGGCTTAAAAGTCACTTTTAGGGGGTTCCATTTAATCCAGACATGGCCAGGGTTGGAGAGAACAAAATTGTCATAAGAAGCCTCATGAGGGAAAATGGAGTGAGAGGAAAGGAACCAACAGTCAGAGACAGAAGTGGGGCTATTTTTTGCTTATAGAATAAAAAGCAAATCCAGGTTGAACTTCCTAACAAAATTCTTGTAGGTCAAAACTTTGGCTGGGTTATTATATCCCCTTATATTCCAGGAAGCTATAAGGGGTAAGGTCATTGAGATTTGGATGAGTGGTTGGACGCCTTTTTGATGCTTTTGGCTCTAGAGGGTTTGGGATTTTGATTAATTGCATATTAATTGTGATTGCTGGAGGTGGTGTACTGAGGAGGAATGGATTCCTTGTCATATGGGTCTTTATTAAGAGTATTGCCCGAAGCTAAGAGAGAGTCCTCTTGAGAAGTTGCTTGTGAATCTGATAGAGAGGTGGAAGGAAGCACCTGAATTTTCGTTAAAACAACAAATTTGTTTGTGGAGGTTATGGCTTTGGAACCTGAAGCAAGTTGTCCAATACCCGGGGAAGGGGGATTTGAGTTGTCTGTGAGATTCAGGGGATCCTCTAACAGTGAATTAAGATTAGGAATAAGAGGTTGAGAAGGGGGCTTCAGGATAATGAGGATAGGAGGTTGAGAGGAGGTAGGAGGTTGAGGTTGGGATGGGGGGATTTAGGGTAGGCAAAATAGGATGTCTCGGATTAGAGGGGTTAGGGGGTTGAGTGGGTCTTGGATTGCAGCTAGAACTACGACCCCGGGGCCGTAGCTGAGGCTGGACAGAAGGTGGGGAAGGGTTTTTGGGACATTGTTTAGGTGAGCGCGAGATGGAACTGCAATGAGGACACGATATTGGCTTCCAGTCGTATAACACAGTAAGAGGGATAATCTTTCCCTTAACTGAAATGTAAATTTCATCAAGTAGCGGTGAAGAACTGTTTACCTGAACACAGATGCGGGTAAATGTCAATCTGGTTTTGGCAGCTATAAGAGAGTCAACCGCCAGAGGAATCCCCACACAGCTAGCAACCTTCGAGATACCCTTCGGAGTCCAGCATGAAAGGGGCAGATTTTTTATCTTGATCCAAAGAGGGATCGAGGGGAATTCTTCTCTTATCGGAACAAAACCAGGCGACCACTTCTACAGAAGGAAGGGTTTCCCGAAGAAAAACCAAGGTCCACCGGACCAAGCCATTTCGTAATCTTCCACGGCCGTGAATTTAAGAAGGAAGAATCCATCATCGAGACTGAGGAGGGAGATGGCACCTTTAAGCGACAACATTTTTTTATGACATTGAGGAGGGCTTCATAGTATGGTCTTCTCCGGATGATGAAGCCAACTAGGGACAACGACCATTGAAGAGAACCAATGGCAAATTGAGCTTTAGTGAAATGAGCTGTAGCATTCTCGGTGGGGACATGCAAGAGGGAGTTAGTGAACTCTTGGGAGACCTGGTCTTGAATGGTCAGGAGAGATTTCCAGTCTAGAGGGCCAGTTGACAGAGCAGTAGTGGGTTTAGACGATGAGTAGGGAGGAAAATGAGAGGAGGACATCCTAACAGAGGAGTCCTCCCCAGAGGAGGGGGCGGAAGACGGCAGGATGGCTCACGTAAAAAAAAAAACCCTAGCAGAGCACAAAGGCTATCTCTTTTCAAGCTAATGTTATTTATGCAAGCATTTCAAGGGCAGGGAACATTGGATGCATTATTTCATATTGACTATAATAAACCTATCACATTCCTGCCCCCTAATACCATTAACTGAATTAAACCTAGTAAGGGAGTTCTTGAAATTAATATTCATGTTACTCATTCTATTTTTAATTGTGGCTTGGGTGGGCTTATTCGTGATGATAATGGTAATTGTATTTTTGGTTATTGCTCTACATATCCAACGTCTAATTTTGTTGATGCCTATCTCATTGCTTTGGAAATTGGCTTAAAAGCTTGCTCCAATTTGCATTTTCAATCCCTTTGGATTAAATTGGAAGATCGTGAAGTTTTTTATATTGTTAATAACATTACCACTGTGAACATGTCTTCTTAGTACAATTCTTGTAGAGTTAAGTCACTTTTGTTGAATTTCAATTACAATTATTCTACTATTGTTAAAGCTACGAATTATTGTGTTGTTAAGCTGGCTAAGATTGCTATTTACCTGCTCTGTGTTCATGAGTAGTTGGTAGCTGCTATGCTCAATTATGTTACATTCATGTTTAACACTCTTTTCCTGCTCTGTTTACTTTGTAGGTCTTCTTGCATTCTTGTTCGCCTCTTTCAGCTTTGTTATATGTTGCTTACCACTCTGATATTTGTTTTATTTTTTTTATCTAGTCATTTTCTGCTAAATCAGATATTTTACCAGTTATTTCTGTTGTTGTTAAATCTGTGCTCTCTTCTTGGTGGTTTTATTTTGCATTGTATTTTGTTTCTGTTTTTGGAAAGAGGTTTCTACCTTTTGGAGTTTGAGGGTCGACTCTCCGTCGTGGATCATCCTTGCTTATTGATTTTTCGCCTTCATTTCCCTCTATTTGGTTCTTCGCTCGTGTGGGTTTCTTTGTTGCTTTGGAATGTTTTGGTCGTTGGGTTCATTACAAGTTAAAAGTAATGTAAATAGAATAAATAACATTAAATAAAGTACCCAACCCTCATAGTATAAATCATACTAAACTATTACAAAATATAAATATCAAAATTAGACTACTGCTGATAACAATACTCCTGAGGTAATGGTCCACTAAACATGCATGCAGGACTTGTTGTAAAAAAGAGAACTTGTGAGTTTTATAAATCAAACTTAGCAAGTACTTCTATCTATGAAAGCATAAATGATAAATGTGTCGGGCAAATAGTTTGAACAACCAAAGGATGGAAGTGATAAGCTATAGTCATCAAATCAAAATAATAATGACACGTCATATTTCTTACAACAGAATTCTAATATGCTAATGTTATTAATATATATGCCAAAGTACTATCAATACTAGCTATCATCTTGCCTCAAAATGATGTATTAGTCATTATTATTTTCAACTCTTGTCAAATTATATTTTCTTACATTTATACATATATATTTATTGTCAGTTTATCATATATTCTTCAATAGGAAGATAAATAACAATCCAAGGAAATTCAATGACGTTCTACTGAGTCATCACTCTAAAGGATCGTTGGCCCCAACTAGCCAAAATATGAAAGGGTTCTACTGACGTACACATAATCATACAGTGCAAGTATTTTTATAAATAACAAA